CACTCTACCAAGAGTGACATAGTGAGACTCTGTCTCTGGAAAAAAAAAAAAAAAAGAAAGAAAGAAAGAAAGGAAGGAAGGAAGGAAGGAAGGAAACGAAGCTTCACAAGACTCACAGAATCAGGTTGACTAGTGTTACATAAACAAAATCCACCTGTTAGGTAAAGCCCATTCTGGTGAAAGTCCCTTCTCTTGAGTGTCCAGTGTCACATTAAGGGAAAATGGCACGACCAGAGCTCTCAGCCTTACCCTTTTTATTTTTGAGACAGAGTTTCATTATGTCACCCTCGGTAGAGCGTTGTGGTGTCACAGTTCACAGCAACCTCAAACTCTTGGGTTCAAGCAATTCTCTTGCCTCAGCTTCCCAAGTAGCTGGGACTACAGGTGCCTGCCACAATGCTGGGCTATCTTTTTGTTGTAGTTGTCATTGTTGTTTAGCAGGCCCAGGCCAGGTTTATACCCACCAGCCCTGGTCCAGGTGGCCGGCCTCCTAACCACTGAGCTATGGGCGCCAAGCCTGCCTCACCCTTAGTGAGTTCCACTCACAACGACTGGAGACATGGACATGAACAGACCATATGTATGGACTCAGCTCACTTCCCCTCAGACCAGGCCATAGCTCAGGTGGGAACCTGGCTCTGGAGGGTGCACATCCTGTAGCTTTGAGAGGACTTTCCTGCCTGCTCCAAGGCTCCTCAGCTGCGGTTTTCACTTCAGTGGGTTTCCTGGCAGTGGCTCATATCTCTTCACTCCAGGGCCCGAGGCACCTGCATGGACACCCCCCTTAGTTTTCCTGTCAGTGTGGGCACAGCGTCTGAGAGCACTGTGATTCAGAAAGGCCTCCTGAGTAGTGCAGAAGTCACAGATTCCAAATGTCATGGCCCTGGCCATACCAGGAATGTATTGAGCCCCTTCCAATCTGCCGTGCTCCACAGTTCTTGTGATGCTCAGGGCAATGCTGCCAGTGGTGAGGCCCTCAAGAGGAAGACAGCTCCAGACTGTGCAGAGGCAGCCATCTCTCTGGGAGACCAGATGTACAGAGGCTGTCTCCAGATGGCAGGTGGCATGTGATGCATCCTGAAGAGGGGCAGAGCACAGTTCCTGGGGACAGCGGTGACTGTGGACATGCTGGGGCATGCTGTACTCCTATGATGTCTCACCCAGAGGCTCCTTTAGGCAAGAGTCATGTTTCCCCAACACGGAGTCCACTGTGAGCTGCACTTTTCATCAGTCGGAACCAATGAGGAGCAGCACAGAGGAGACCAGTCTCACAAATAGGGCTGAAAAAACAAGGCTCTGTGTTGGCATGTCCTTTGCAGTCCAGTCCTGTCCTGTCCATAGCCCAGGCTGTCATGCCCAGGATTCCAGCTAATGGAGACTTCCACAGAGGTCAAGCTCCGGCCTCTCCCTCTGCTGTAGGTAGCTCATCCAACTGTCCTCAGAAAAGGCCTGGCAGCTTGGCTTCCCCAGCCAAGACCAGCAGTGCACACAGAGGATGGCTCTCCATGGTTGGGGACACATGTGTGCCCCCCCCCACCAGAAGCCACACTGGAATGTGAGGGTGCTGTGGGTGCTCATCAGCCGCAGGTGAGTCATGCTGTCTGGGCCTTCACCGACAGGCTTTGTGGCTCCCAAATTTAAAAGCAGGTGGTCCTGGTAAGAATCCTGTGGTTCCCACACACATGACCCCAATTTCTTGCTTACAGATGCACAGTGAGGACTCTTCCACAACCAGTCTCCTCCAGTGCTAATTCTCATCTCTGCACCTCAGGGTCGGGCATGACAAGCTTCCTGAGGGAGACACTGGAAAAGTGGCACTTAGTACACTTGTGGCAATGCTTAGGTCATTACCTTGGACCAACCCAATAGCCGTCTGGAATAAAAGGTTACAAAAGGTGCGAGCTATCCATCAACGCTGCTCCCTCCATGCCTAGAATCTTGTGCTTCTGTCCACACACCTTGCTCAGCTGCCCAGCGACCCCCTCGGGCTGGGCGTTATTTTCCCCATTTTGTAGAAGAGGAAGGCAGGCTCAGAGAATAGGGTAGGCCTGGCAGCTGGCTGGAGCTCAAATTCAGCACCCTGAAAAGATCACTAAAGTTTAGGCCAACGATTCAGATTCTTGGGAGAATTACAGAATCATCAAGACTGCTCGGCTTGGGTGGGGGGAGAGACTGCTCGGCTTTGGCTCGGTGCCTGTGGCTCAAGTGGCTAAGGCGCCAGCCACATACACCTAAGGTGGCGGGTTCGAATCCAGCCTGGGCCTGCCAAACAACAATGACGGCT